CAACATACCTTACCTGATTTAGAGGATGGGGTGTCCTGAATTAATGGGATTAAGATAGCTCTGAAGGTATCTTGGCCCCATCCATGTAGGGCTTTATGCAGTATGCAGTTCAGCAAAGTTCCACCTAGTTGTAGCTGCTATATATTCTTTGAACAGGAGCTGAGAATATAGGAGGACCCCCAGATTATGCATGGTTTTTGTCTGGGAAAGTACAACCTTATCGAAGACCAAAGATGCTAAACTCCTGGATGCAGAGGGGCTCAGCCACAGCCACTTTGTCTTATCAAGGTTCATTAGAAGTCTATTGTTCCCCATTCAGGCCTCCACAGTCTCCAGGCACTGTGAGAGAACATCCACAGCATCACTCACTTCACCTGGGATGGAGATATAAACTGAGGTATCACGCAGATATTAATGATACCTCATCTCAAGCAATAGATGATGTAATCCAGTGGTTTCATGTACATCAATATAGATTATGTAGATGTTAAAAAGTATGAGAGAAAGCACCGAGTCCTACAACACCCCTCAAAAGAGGGCTGTGAGCTAGACTTCTCATTTCCCATCAACACTAATTGGGACCAGCCTTGAAGGAAGGAGGCAAACCAGCACAGAACACTCACCCCCAACTCCCTAAATTAGCCCAAAGGAATACCATGATAACAAAAACAGCTAAGAGGTCAAGAAAAGCAAGGATGGATACATTATGTCCAACCCTATCCCACCAGATGTCATCTATGACTATGACCAATGCTGTTTATGTATGTGGGCTTCAAACCTGAGTGAAAAGGGTAGTATAATCCATTTGCTTCAGGATAGTCTGAGGTTGCAATGCCACCACCTTCTCAACCATTCTCCCTAAGAAGGAAAGTTGCAATATTGGATGGAAAGCATCCAATAAAGGAGAGTAGAATATTTGTAGCTAAACTAAAAAGCTTCTTCTAACATGTTAAAAACAAGAAAAAAGTCAAGGAAACAATTGGTCCATTGCTGAGGGAACGTGGCAAGAAGGTGACAAGCAACAGGGAGAAAGCAGAACTACTTAACTCATTTTTTGCATCTGTCTTTACGCAAAGGGAAAAAACAGTCCAACCTATCAAAAACAGCACCACAAAAAGCAGATTAGGAACACAAGTTAAAATAGGGAAGAAAATGGTAAGTGAACACCTGTCTACCCTAGACGAGTTCAAATCACCAGGACTGGATGGATTACACCCCAAGGTTCTGAAGGAACTGGCAGACGAGATCTCAGAACCACTGAACTACAATATATCTTTCAAAGCTCCTGGAGCACTGGGGAACTGCCAGAGGACTGGAAAAGAGCTGATATAGTTCCCACCTTCAAAAAAGGGAAAAAAAATAGATCCAGGAAACTACAGACCTATCAGCTGGACCTCAATACAAAGGAAGATTCTGGAAAAGATAATCAAGCAACGAATCAGCGAACACCTAGAAGCAAACAAAGAAATAACCAAAAGCCAAAATAGGTTTGTCAAAAACAGATCATGCCAGACTAATCTTATTGCATTCTTTGACAAAGTGACAAAATTAGTGGACCAGAGGAATACGGTCAATATAATCAGGCTTCAGTAAAGCATTTGATAAAGTAGACCATAACCCACTACTACATAAAGTAGAAAAATGTGGGTTAGACAGCATCACCACCAGATGGATTCATAAATGGCTGACCAATCACACTCAATGTGTAGTCCTCAATGGAATTGCATCGACATGGAGGGAAGTATGCAGTGGTGTACCCCAAGGCTCTGTTTTAGGCCCAGTACTCTTCAACATCTTCATCAATGACTTGGATGAGGGGATAGATGGGGAACTCATCAAATTTGCAGATGACACCAAGCTGGCAGGAATAGCCAACACTCCAGAACATAGGCTCAAGATACAGAAGGATCTTGACAGACTTGAACTTTGGGTGCTATCTAACAAAATGAAATTCAACAGTGAAAAAAGTAAGGTTCTACATTTAGGCAAGAAAAACAAAATGCACAGGTACCGTATATGTGGTACCTTGCTCAATAGTAGTAACTGTGAGAGGGATCTTGGAGTCCTAATGGACAACCATTTAAATATGAGACACAGTGTGCAGCAGCTGCCAAAAAAGCCAACACAGTTCTAGCCTGCATAAACAGAGGGAAAGAATCAAGATCAGGTGAAGCGTTAATACCACTTTACAATGCCTTGGTAAGGCCACACTTGGAATATTGCATTCTGTTTTCATTGCCACGATGTAAAAAAGATGTTGAGACTAGAAAGAGTGCAGAGAAGAGCAACAAAGATGATTAGGAGACTGGAGGCTAAAACATATGAAGAACGGTTGCAGGAACTGGGTATGTCTAGTTTAATGAAAAGAAGGAATAGGGGAGACATGATAGCAGTGTTTCAATATCTCAGGGGTTGCCAGAAAGAAGAGGGAGTCAAACTATTTTCCAAAGCACCTGAGGGTAGGACAAGAAACAATGGGTGGAAACTAATCAAGGAGAGAAGCAACTTAGAACTAAGGAGAAATTTCCTGACAGTTAGAACAATTAATCAGTGGAACAACTTGCCTCCAGAAGTTGTGAATGCTCCAATACTGGAAGTTTTAAAGAAGAGATTGGATAACCATTTGTCTGAAGTGTTGTAGGGTTTCTTGCCTAAGCAGGGGGTTGGACTAGAAGACCTCCAAGGTCCCTTCCAACTCTGTTGTTCTGTTCTGTTCTGTTCTATTCTTGCAAATATTTCATTACCCAAACTAGGTAACATCATCAGTATTAGTCAGTGTCCAGAACAGTGGCATCCATGAATGGCTTAATGAGGAGTTGATTCATCAGAACATCTTCAAAAGGTGCCAGGAACACTCTGTCCATCAGGGATGAATTTACCATCACTTACACCCATTAATTTGCTGGACGCAGAGCAGTCAAATGGGTCCAGCCTCCCTGCAGAAGGGGTAGCATAAGAGAGCCTGAAAGTTACCAGGTCATGAGCTGACCATGAGGTAGACCCCTCATGTTTCCTGATCTGATGCAGTATTATAATACATTACAGGTGGTGATGCTTTGTTGCTGTTAAGGAAGAGGGCAGGGTATGTAATACTTGGTGGAGCCAGAAAACAAAGAATGACAGCATTTGTAGCTACTAAGATTGTTGCATGAGCAGGGACAAAAACAGCCAGGGAAGTGATTGATTGGTAAAAGAGCCCCTCATCAGTCAACATGAGTGCAGATTTAGCACTATCTTATCAACTACTTAGGAGGCGAGGCCTTGACAGCACAAGCACAGCCAACTGCTTAATAGCCAACTATCAGCACCCAATCAATGTCTAAACAGCTATGTACAATAGGCACCAAATAAATATCACACACAGAGTGGCCCAAGAACATTCACTCTGCTGGGCTCTATCTTGTAAGACAAAACTTCTGGTTCTGGTGACTGACCCAGATTGTATCCAAAGACAGCATTCTGTCACAGGAGCTCCAAGTGGAAAGGAAATGAAAGATGACTTGGGAAAGGACAGTTGCCAAATATGAAACCCCTGAGTACATTTCTACATTGAAGATCCCAAATCTGGGAGCCGAGAAGTATCCCAGAACCATTCTTAATCCCAAGAAGAAATCCCATTTATGTCTTGATGCATCCTGAAGGTCTGCTTTTGTTTGCCTGACATTTACTCGGATGGCATGAGATTAGCCTCTGTAGAAACAGCAGCATTCTTAAAGGAGGGCACAACCCACCCACCCTCAAAGAGTTGCCCAAAGATCTAGGGAGCTGTAATTTCATTAAATTACTTAGGCTAGAGAAGAAAAGGCTACACAGATTGAATGGCTGACATGGCATCATTGAAACCCAATTTACATTCAGCTGAAATACAGTGAAGAGTTCACTTGGCTTCTAAAACTCTAATGCCTGAAAAAAAAAACTTACAGACAATTGGAAAAACCAAAAACAACTGGTATCCAAGTTAGGGGTTTTGCTTTGATAAAGATGGTATGCAAAACTCCACACATTTAAGACATACTTGGAAAATAAATTGTGTAATGTTATGATACACCACCCAACACCTCAAAGCCCCCACCGTTGGGCATGCAAGGTTTTCTACCTTCAACTTTCACATATGAAAAACAAACCAAGATTGAAAAGTAGATATGAAGATGATAAAAGGTGGGGAATTTATTCAGAGACCAAAAGGATGAAAAATGCTGCCAAACCAGTGGTACAGCTTTGAAGAGCCCTGGAGGAAATGATTACCTAGATCCTTTCCCAACATGTTTTGGGTTGGGATCTAGCACTGAGATGGTCTAGAGCGGAGGTGGTATTCAGCTGGTTCTAACCGGTTCTGGCGAACTAATAGCAGAAAGTTTGAATAGTTTGGAGAACCAGCAAATATCACCCCTGGCTGGTCCTGCCCCTGATCTATTTGCTGCCTCCTGAGTCCCAGCTGATTGGCTGGGTCTTCTTTTGTTGCCTTGCATAGGAGAAAGGAGCTGGAAAGCAGGTTAGTGGGGTGGGGAGGGAATGGGGATTTTGCAGTATCCTTCCCCTGGAGTGGGGAGGAAATGGGGATTTCGCAGTATTCTTCCCCTGCCACACCCACAAAGCCACACCCACAGAACCAGTAGTAAAAATTTTTGAATCCCACCATTGGTCTAGAGGATTAATGGATGGCCTCTAATGGGAGTGGGAAATGGAAAGCACATGTGTCCTAACCCTGCTTGATCTCTCGATGGCCTTTTATATCAGGGATCTTGATATCATTTTGGAATGGTTTGGTGTCATAGGAGTGGAAGGAGTGGTTTAATAGTAGCTCTCCCTCTTCCAAAAAGAAATGCATAGAAATGCATAGGAACAGTTAGATAAGAAATCTAATATACATTGTAAATGTAGACAGACATAGTTGCTGTTTAACTCTAAAACTCATGTATTTACCTATTTTTAAAAAATGCTCTGAATTTACCTATTTTTATCATTTCTATTTCACTAATTCAGTCCATCTTCATTTGCAGATGCTGGTGCTCACCAACTGCCAGGTTTATCAGGTAAGTGAATCTGTTCATGTTTAAAGCTAATTCAGCATGATCAGGTCCTTCCCTCTCCATCCTCATTATGTAAGAAGTTGTTGTGAATATTAATCACACCCAAAATTCTGATGGGGAAAGCTGCAGAGTGGTTCTTGCAGTGCTGGCCATAAAAAAGAAAGGAAGAGAGGGAAGGAGGGAGGGAGGTCCCCATACACCCCTTTCTTTTTCTTATATTCAATTTATATTAGCTTGTCAGAATATAACATACAAGGGAAAATGAAAATATTTTTTTTATAAAAAGTTTTTTTAAAAAATTTTTACACATACACAAACACACACACACAAACATACAATGTATTTTTGCTGAACAGAGTATTTGGCCGGTTAACAAATTTAAACAGTTTTTAGTCCTTTCAACTAAAATTACAATTTCTATACCTCCTTTTTGCCGTAGTATTTATTTTCATCTATTTTTTTACCAATATTACCCTTCATTTTCATCTCTAATTTTTACCAAATTCCATTTTTTCCCTTCTATTCTATATTAAACCCCTTCTCATTGTCATCTGTTTTTGTATCCATCATCATCAGTTAATTTTGTGGTGTTACAGTTGTTCAATTCTTATAGGAATAGTAAACCCACTTATTTTATAACATAAATTTCCTTAAATAATACAGTCCAGCATTTTAATATAAATCAATTAATTATGTAAATATCTTTTTCATTTATATAGTCAAACAAGAAAAAAAAAGAATATAAATGTGGATATTCCAATTAGTTCCATTTTCATACATCAAATAATTTTCCCCATATGTTCCTCTAAACCACATCTTAATCATTTCTACTTTCACCACGATATGCAATTAAAAATATTTCATTTATTACAATTTCCTTAGTTAAATTTAAAAATATTCTAGCTGTTATCCTCTAATCATATAGCTTTCCCCATGTATTATTCAAAATCATCACTTAATCATTTCTACACACACCACCATAAACCATTAAAAGTATTTCAATTATTACAATTTCAATTTATTCATATTTCTAAAAAAAACCCTCATCGTTATCTAGATTTCAAAAATACAAATGATAATATTCCAATTATTATTCAGTTCATTTTCACCATCAGATGATTTACCATTATTTCTTACTACAATTCGTATTTCAGTTCTAGATATATACATCATATTCCTCTTTCATTTCTTTCTCCTTTTCTCCCTTTTCATTTTTATTTTTACCTTTTCTTTCCCCTTTTTTCCTGTGCTTTAAAATCCTGATCTCTCGGACTTCCTGTTGGCTCCGCGAGTTTTGAAGATGCTCTTTTACGAGCGCCCGATCCCCGGTTCCGTAAAAGCCCCAGAACAGCTGAAAAACAGCTGTCTGGAGGCTTGGAACCCTCTCCCCGGGCAAAGGGGAGAGAGAAGAGTTGACAGGCGGAGATAGAGCCCCCCAAGTGCGCTAGGAGAAATCCTGGGGCGCAAAGGGTGTGGGCTCCCTATTGAAGCCGGTCAAGCTGCTCTGGACCAGGGACGACTCTGCCAAAGCGGAGCTAGAAGCCGCGACCAAAATCTGCTGAAAATCAACGGGGGGACTTTTAACATCTTTACTTTGATCGCAGACAGAGCAAATCAGGAGAAAACAAAAAGGAAAACTTGCAAGTAACACTTTAACTCCATTTTAAAATGTAGAAAATGGCGCCTGAGGGCGGGAGGAGGAAACTACTAGGGAAAGTGCTTGTTAAGGCTTGTGAACATTTGCAACAGTGATACAGCTACTGGATTACACCTTAAGAGAAAGTTTTAAAGTGGAAGCAGCCAGGAAAAGAATTTGGTATTGAGGGAAAGAATTGGATACTGACTTTAACTAAAATCTTGTTTTTATACTGTATGGAAAAGAGTTGAATTGTTGTCCTGATAGCTGGATGAATACAAAGTGGCTGAAATATGGCTGACAATAGGGTGGTGAATCAGCAAATTCTCAAGCCATGACTGTTCAGGCTTTTCAAGAACTTCTAGACTCTTTTACTTCTGCCCTGTTGGATACAATTGAAAGGGCTTTTTCAAAAAACAGCTTGGGAAAATATAAGCAGTTGTTAGAGGGACAGCAGGAAATTATTCAGAGGAATTTGTTTTTGGAAGTTCAAGAGATGGTCAGGATTAAAAGACAGGCTGGCACAGTTGAAACAAAGGTTTTGGTGGACGTTTCCATTCAATTGACAGAAAAGCAACAAATAGTCTTTTTACTGCAAGCTGACAATCTTTATGGCAACAAATTCTGGCTATATGGACAAAGAAAAGGACTGAATGATTATACAAGCAAGAAGAGACGAAATGGGGATTTCAAGTTAGAAAACGCAACCTCAAGAAGAGAGCGAGCATTTCAGAAACATCAACCTCAAATCACCATTTTAAAAGTTTCAAAAATAAAATTGGGGGGGACTGTTGAAAGAATTTATAAAAAAAAAAGGATTGGAAAAATATAGAAAGAACAGAAGAACAGAAGATTAAGAAAGATATCTTCCTGTGGATTTTGAAATTGGCATCGGGCAAATATGTGTTTTAATGGTATTAAGAGATTTTTAAAATGTTTAACATAAGTTTATATTATTTTAAAAGATATATGAGATAAATTGTATAAGCTTTTAAGATGCCTAACCTTTTGAAGCGAAGAGGAATAATGTTAAATTCAGAATTTTATTGCAAAATGATAATTAGTTTTGGATAGTAAAAGGGCTGTTCTCTAAAAAGTTAGAGGTATTAAGACAGTTAATTGAAAATTTGAAAGACATCCTCCTGTAGATTTTGAAATTTATATTTGGTAAATATTAAGAGATTTTTAAAATGTTTAACATAAGACTATATTATTTTAAAAGATATATGAGATCAAATTTGTAAGATTTTAAGATGAAAAATTTTTCTTTTTTTTTTTTTGAAGGAAAGAGGATTAATGTTAAACTCAGAATTTCACTAGGGAGTAATGTTCAAAAAGAATGATGTTCGAGGGTATAGAAATGGAATTTATTCATGATTTTTACTGTTTGTAAGACTGCTTAAGTATCAGATTATACATCAAGAAAAAGTTTTTTTATAAGTAGGAAGAATGAATTTAATTTAATTGGTTTTGAGAATTTATAAAAGGGAGGTTGATGAATTGGAGCAAGGGGAGTTAAAGAACATGTGGGAGTCTTGAACTTTATAATTAGTTAGTTTATTTTAGCATATGTTTGTTAGATGCTATACCCTGTTTTTGCTCTGGGAAGTCAGGGGGGTGGTGGGGAGGGTGGGATAAGGGATGGGGGGGGGGGAAGTGGTGAATAGAGAAAGTTTTAGCAGAAGAAAGTATCTATGAGTAGAATACAGGAGTTGCTCAGACACTAAAGGAGGAAAATATTTCACAGCAAAGAAGTTAGAAAGGAGAGAGGAGGAGGGAGTAGGAAGAGGAGAGGGAGGGTGAGGAATGGAAGAAAGGAGAGGAGGAAGGGAAGGGAAGGGGACAGGAGTAGGAGTGAAGGTGAGAAGGGGGAAAAGAAGAGAGAAGTGGGGGAAAGGAAAAGGAAGTAGGATGAGGTGGGAGAGGAGGCAGGAGAAAGTAGGAGAGAAGAGGAGGGAGGGAAGGGAAAGAAAGGAGGAGAAGAAGAAGGTTTGTTGTGGAATGAGGGAAGAAAGAGAAGAAGAGCAACTCCAAATGTAATTAAAATGTCTTATTTTAATGCTTTCTTTTGTATAAGAAAATGTACAATTTCTATTATGTGGGAAAGGGGATAGGGTGGGGGGGGGGGAAATTGTTTGTATTTCTTATAAAACTTTTCAATTAAAAAAAAATCCTGATCTCTCCTGTTTTGCCCTATATTTCCCATTGTTCCCCCTCTCTTTTCTCTTTTTTTTAATTTCACCACTGTTTAGCCCACTGTTTATCCCAGTATTATCATTCTGTATTTCTTTTTTTAAAAATTTTTTTATTTATTTCTTTACAACAAAATATTTATTCACACACAGATCGCGACGGGAGCTTTACACAATATATTAACTTCAGTCAAGATATACAAATAAAGAATAAAATCTACACTAACCTTATCCTTTTTTTATTCTATTATTCAACCAAGTATACCATTGGTCCCAACATTGAAAATATACGGAGTTCTTTTGATCTCTCAAAATTTTTGTTAACCTGTCAGCTTCCGCATATTCGATAATTTTTCCCAGAATCAAATCTTCAGCCGGTAGGTCTTTCCCCTTCCAATGTTGAGCAAAACATATTCTTGCTGCGGTTGTGATATATGTAATCAGACACCATATACTCGTGCCTATCTTATCTGGCCTAATATTTAATAGATAGTATTCTGGTTTCAATTGTAATTTATATCCCATAATTTCTAATATCCACCTCTGTATAAATCTCCAAAATTCGATTGCCTTAGGGCAGGTCCACCATACATGATAATAAGTACCTATCTCCCCACACTTTCAACAATTTGGGGAGAGTCCTGGAAACATTTTAGCTAATCGAGCATGAGGGAGATGCCATCTATACACCATCTTATACAAGTTTTCTTTGTAAGTGGTTGCCATCAGAAATTTCAATTGTTTCGTCCAAATTTCTTCCCATTTTATCAATTCAATTGAATAATCAATATTTCTCCCCCAGGCAATCATTGAGTCTTTAACAATCTCATCTCCTATCCAATAAGTTATTAAGAATTTATAGATCTTAGATAATATTCTTTCCTCCTTTCCTAATATAATACTATCTATTTCTTGCTGGGTCATAACTATACCACTTTTTTCCTTGTCTTTCTTATATTTAGAGCTGATCTGGGCATATGACCATCAATCCAATTTTATTCCTTGAAGCTCTAACTCAGTTCTTGTTTTTAGGCATCCTTGGGCATCCAACAGTTCCGGATAGGACAGGTGTTTTTCATTATTATAAAGCGAACTATATGTTGTAGCTTCTAATGGGACCAACCAAGAAGGAGTTGAAAAGTAAAGTTTACCCTTAACTTTCCTCCATGTATCAA